CTAACCTAGAAGTGGTGAGTAGGATGGAGAGGAGATTCAATTAGAGTTAAGGATCAGTGGGGTTCCAGTTCCTGAGCTGAGTGACCTTAGGAAAATCATACAGCCTCTGTGAGCAGGGTTCATTGTGCAAGGATGGGGCAGTGCAGCTGTTGGGCTTGTGGTAGCTGCTCAATAAATGACAGCCATTATTGTCAGTTATCACTTGGATATGGGGGGACATCAGATGAAAAGATTTACTGAACATCTTCTGAGAGCTGGGTACTGTGCCAGCTGCTGGGGCCCAGACTCGACTCTTAGTCTACAGAAAGCTCACCTGATAACCATATCACGCAGACCGCAGAGAGGGAGTCTTCACTTTCAGCTCCACCCCAGAAGCTTAAAGGAAGTTGTCAGGGTTCTGGGTGGCTCATGGAGGAACTGGTATTGAGCTGGCTGGTAGAATTTGGGCAGGGAGAAGTTGGGGAAGGAGCTTCCAAGCAAACTATGTGAACAGCAAGCCCGAGGGCAGGAACTGAGGTTGGTTGAGGTCTAACCAGTTGCTGCACAGGACAGAAGGGAAAGTTGTCAGATGGCCTTATGGAGGCGAGGCCTCAGTGGCTAGCTAGGCTGGGGGGGGCAGCGTGGAACTGAGCTGCCCTCTGAAAATCCAGTGTTGTAGCGGTGACATGGAACGGACCCCTTAGAGAGCTTTAGGTTCTCCTACTAGGTCATTGGGAGACCACAAACAAAATGCCTTGTCCTCCCCTGCCTCAGTTTCCCCATCTGTGCAATGAGCCGATTAGTCTTGTGTAGGAGGCAATTCTGGCATCACGTCCTAGGGGTTGGTTGGTCTAGCCAACTGGGTCAGGCATTTTCTGGCTTGGGATTCTGGGCCTCAGCAGTGCTTTCTTCCAGAGCATCCTAAGCCAAAGAGTGGAGGAAAGTGAGGGGTCCTCAGAGATGGATTTTGGGGCACTCCAAATGAGGGGCTAGGGGCTCAGCACAGAAGTTGGGGGGTCTTGCCGAAACCTGACTCCAAGCCCCAAAGGGGACCCAGAAGAGAGGGCCAGGGTCCCTCCTTTCTTCCGCCCTGACCCATGTGTTTAGGAGGGCCCAGTGCCCAACCCCTGACCTAGAGGGTGTCAGGACCGTTCCTGCCCACTAGGGAGCAGGGCTTGGAGTCCCCCAGGGATAAGGAGCCAGGAGGCCAATCTTGGGGTGGCAGAGCCAGGTGGATGCCTGTGCGTGGCTGGGCTCCGCCGTTGATATTTGGGGTTGTCGGGGGTTGTGGTATAAGGCAGGTTTTGGCGACACACGCCCCCAGCCCAGGCTGCCCTGGATCCTGGCTACAAGGGGCCCGTTAAGCACCTCACCTGTGAGGTGGGGCTGGGAGAGAATTAATTTCCTGTGCTATTTTAATTTTGCTGTATTTAATCTGCTGTTTATTTTAATTAATTAATGACGGGTAATCGCCTATCATAACCTACTGCTGCTGGCTCCTCTTCCTTTTCGAATGGGTGGAAGGTTGGGCCAGGTGATTGCCGGGTTAGTGGTGGGGGAGAGGGAGGTCCTTGGGGGCCTGTCCCTCTCCCCTTCTGCCCCTCTCATCCCAGGGGTCCTCCCCACCAGGGGTCCTCTCCTCCCATCTCACCTGTGGCTCCACCTTTCCCTCCCTTTTCTCACCCAGGTCTGCTTCAGGGCCTTGGAAGTAGTGACTGTGGCAATGAGGGGCCTGACCTGAGGCCCCTGCCTGTCTCTCAATAAACAGTATTTTGATGTCATAGGATGGTGGTTGGAAGGATGGGGAACTTGCCTTGGATGGTGCTTAGGCACCCTTGGGGAAACTTTTGAAGTTGGGGTCATTTTTTAACAGCAGCCCCTTTCCCCTCTCCCCAACCCCAGTGCCCAAACAGCATCCCCATCCACATTTTCAGGACTGTGGGACACCAGCATGTCTTAGTATCTATGGACATATCCTTGGGTATGAGTTCAGTTATTCATTAATCCCCAGGACAGACCTCCAGGGGGATTATCCCCTTGTATAGAGGAGCTCGCTGAGGCTCAGAGAGGCTAAGTAACTTGCCAAGGGTCACACAACAACTAAGCAGCAGGGCCTGAATTCTGGCCACAATCTGATTGCATGGAAAGAGTTAACAGTTGGAGGGAGGGGAGGGGAAGTGGCTTGAGGACTAGGGTGGGGGGATTAGGACAGAAGACTGATTAGGCCAGGAAATGGGGTCCTCTGTCTCTGGAGGATGTGGGGAGGAGGAGTGGGTCCCTGCCACAAGGGGCTTCCCGAAGGTGTGCGGTCTCTGCTACCTCTTCATGTTTCCTTGTGTGTCTTCAGTTACATGTTTGGAACGGGCTTTGTCACTAGCTCTGTACCCTACCACGGGGACCTTTCCAGAGCTAGGTGGAGCTCAACTTTTATTTATTTAACAAACACGTATATAGTGTTTACCATGTCCCAGATACGATTCCAACTTTGTAAATAGATCTTCACTTAATCATTATAGCAGCCTTTTATTAGTGTCTTTGTTTCATATATCAGAAAACTAAGGCATAGAAAGGTAAAGTGACTTGCCCAAGGTCACACAGTCAGTATGTGGTGGAGCCGCCCTTTGAACTTGAAAGGCTGGGATCCAGAGTCCTTGTTTGTTCAGTTGTTCATTCTTTCTTTCTTTCTTTTTTTTTTTTTTTTTGAGACAGGGTCTTACTCCTGTCACCTGGGTTGGAGTGCAGTGGAGCAGTCACGGCTCACTGCAGCCTCGACTTCCCAGGGTCAGGTGATTCTGTTCTCAAGTAGCTGGGACTACAGGCGTGCATATTTTTAGTAGAGACAGGGTTTTGCCATGTTGCCCAGACCGAGTAGCTGGAATTACAGGCGCCTGCCACCACACCCAGCTAATTTTTGTATTTTTAATAGAGACGGGGTTTCACCATGTTGACCAGGCTGGTCTCGTACTCCTGACCTCAGGTGATCCACCCACCTTGGCCTCCCAAAGTGCTGGGATTACAGGCATGAGCCACTGCACCTGGCCTGTCCTGCCCCCTTGTTGCCCTAAGTAGGAGATGGGAGCCCTGAATTCCTGGGAGATAAGGCATCTCTGGGGAGCCTCTAGTCTAGGTCAAAGGGGAGACCTAGCCCTGCCCTTCCCAACACTAAGGTTGATGGGGTGATAGGGCAGAGTGCTATGGGGGAAACAGGCAGAGTGTCAGGCTGTGCCTCCCTAGGAGTGTGCAGATCAGCGGTTCAGAAGCCCCTATAGAACACAGCTCGCCCTGCTACAGTGCTGGCCGCCAATGGGAGAGGTGGAAGGGTTGGCCTCAGAGAGCTTGCTGCCCAGCTAACTGGGAAAACAAGGCAGATACGTCCATTCTCAACAGCTGGATAAAACCATAAGAGAAAAACATTGCATAAAATATCATGTCATTTAAAGAATTTGGGCTTTGAATCCTGTGTGTCCTTAGTTACTTGACGCTTCTCTGAGCCTCAGTTTCCTCACCTGTTGAGGGGAAATAATAATGGCACTGATGCTATAGGGTTTTGTGAGGCTCAAATGAGATAAAACATGAAGGTTTAGCTTTGGAGCAGGGGCTCAGTGAGCATCTCTCTAGATGCTAAGATCCAATACTTGGAGAAAGAAAGGGTCCCTCCCTGGGGTTGGCATCAAAGCAGATCAGGATGGGAATGGCGAGGATGGAATGGGCAGTGAGCGGCCCGGCTTTGGAGTCAGACTGCTTGGGTTTAAATCCCAGCCCCTGGGAGCTGCTTTCCCTCTCTGGGCCTTGATTTCCTTGTCTATAACATGAATATAATACTAGTTCTTCTCTCCTCCATAGGGTGTTGTGAGGATTAAATTAGCTGATTAATTTATTCAACAACTAATACCAAGCAACTGCTGGGTGCCAGACATGTTTCCAGTCACTGCAGATTGTAAGGGGTCATGTTAGCAATCTTATTATCATCGTCATAATCTGGAAAGAAGGGACAACTGTTTGGGAAGAACACGGAGAGGAGGCTGAAGACTTTAGAATGGAGATAAGTGACAAGATAAGATGCTATAGAAATAATAAAGGGCTGATACTTAGTGCTTACTATGTGCCAGGCACATTTGCTCATGAAGCAAGTGCTCATATTATCCTTATTTCACAGATAGACTCAGGTTCAGAGAGGTATAGCGACATGCTCAAGGAAACACAGCTAATAGGGAGAGGGTGGAGCTGCAGTTTGAGAGACTCAAAAGCCATACTATTAATCACAAAGCTTTAAACCTGATTAAGAGACGAGTTAGGGGTGAGGGCATTAATCCAGCAGAGGAAGGAGGGGGAGACCTGGCCAGGAGAGGGAGAGAGGGAATAGAAAGGAAGGACAGAGGTTGAGCAAGGCCTTCAACTTCAGGAAACAATTAGAGAATGAACCAAATCAACGTACACTCCCCAAGTGGGTTTTACTAGCAATAAACAACAAGGCATGAGCTCAGGGAAGGGAGCAAGTGAAGTCTGGAGGGAGGGCTTCCCGGAAGAGGTGAATCTTGAGAAATGGGTAGTTGAAAGAGATGGGGGAGCCAGAGCATTCCAGGCAGGGTGCACGGCACCAGCAAAGGCCCTGAGGTGAGAATGAACAGCGGTTTAGGGCCGAGAAGTGGGAGGAAATTGCTGAGTGAGATCAGGATGAGGATTGGGAGGGCTGGTGACCTCAGGGACATAGGAAGGGTGACAGATTTGAGAGGCTTAGCTAATGTAGAAATAGAAATAAACAGCCGGGCACGGTGGCTCACGCCTGTAATCCCAGCACTTTGGGAGGCCGAGGTGGGCGGATTACCTGAGGTCAGGAGTTCGAAACCAGCCTGGCCAACATGGTAAAACCCCACGTGGTGGCAGGCGCCTGTAATCCCAGCTACTTGGGAGGCTGAGGCAGGAGAATCGCTTGAACCCGGGAGGCGGAAGTTGCAGTGAGCCAAGATTGCGCCACTGCACTGCAGCCTGGGCAACAGAGCAAGACTGTCTCAAAAAAAAAAAAAAAGAAAGAAAAGAAAAGAAATAGAAATAAACCCCCATCTGGACAGAAACTACAGTATAGTAATCAAGAAAGCAGGCTCTGCAGTCCAGTCCTAGCTAGGTTGCATCCCACTACGTGACCAGGGCAAGTCAGCTGAACATCGCATCTCCAAAATGAGTGGTCATCAAAGTACCTGACCCCTCCGATGAGATGCTCTGTGAGGAGTGCTTAGCACAGTGCCTGGCACGCAGTAAGCAGTTGACTCATGTATTCATTCCTTAACCATCAAGTGCACATTTGATGTCAGGCGCTTTTCTAGGACACTCAGCAGTGAACAAAACAGACACAAATCCCTGCCCTCAAGGAGCTTACATTTAAAGGGTAAAACAGTTAATGTAAAAACAAGTGAAATAAATGGTCATTAGATGGTGATATGTACGAAGGAAGAAAATGAATCAGAGAAGGGGCATCGGGCAAGCCCACGTTACAGGGCTATTGCAGTTTTAAATCAGTGTACAGATGGAGGCTGTTGTTACTCTTATTTGTATAGTAGGTTTTAATAGAAAAAGCACCTTCCAGTTTACAAGGCAGTTATTCCTCGTGAGAATCAAGTGAGATGCAGGTATTGCCATCCCCATTTTATAGATAAGGACACTGTGGCTTGAAGACAACAATCCGACTGAATCAGGAGTCATGACTTTGAGGACAGAGCTATACCTGCTAACTCCCTGTGGGATTCGCTGTTCTGTTCCTGAAAGTCTAGAAGACAGACAAAAGAGATGGGAATTGGAGGGATGTGGGCAGTGCCGAGGTGGGTCAATGTCCAGGGATGGAGCTGCACTGGAGAGCAGGGGCAGAGGCCTGTTTCCTGGAGCCAAGCCTGGCCAGCTTCTGCTGGTCTGGCAGAATCAGGGTGAGTTCAGAGGTTGGCTGGACCCAGAGGCAATCCCGAGGGCATAGCAGGGGAGGCCGGAGACACTGTGTGATTGAGCAAAGGGGCAGAATCTGTCCAGAACGGAGTGAGTGTGTGGGTGGCGTTGAGACTCAGGGGAGGGCAAGAGAGGAGAGGAAGAAGTCAGCCCTGCTGACCAGATGAGAGGGAACAGCCAGGAGGTTGGTGGGGCCGGAGCTGGCTCTGAAGGCCCTTGAATGTCAGGCTAAAGACCTTGGCCTTGATGTTGTCAGCAGTAGGGAGCTGTTAAAGGTTTCAGGGCAGAGATGCAGTGTCGTGAGAATGGGATTTGAGGAAGGTGTAGCTAGCTCGAGGTGGAGGAGATTCAGTGGAGGCGACTGGAGGTTGGGAGCCCACTGGGAAGCTGCCACGGCCAAGCAGGTGAGAAACGATGAGGTCAGATCAGAGAGACCACTTGGACTGGTGGAAGGAGTAGGGCCTGGGAGAGGATACCCCTGGGTTCTGGCCTTGGATCTGCCCAGATTTTCTGAGGGTCCCTTCTTTATTATGCACCTCTGTTTTCCCATTTGGACTGAACTAAAGGCGTGTGCCTGCCCTTTTTTTTTTTTTTTTTGCTTGGCTACCATTTTGGCTAAGGACCCATTTTGAGAAGATGATGAGACCTAGGGGCTTTCTCTCCAGAAAAATTTAAAAAAATAAAAAAACTTTTAAAAAAGTTTTGAGCCTGGGCGACATAAAAAATTAAGTAGCCAGGGCTGGGCGCGGTGGCTCACGCTTGTAATCCCAGCACTTTGGGAGGCCGAGGCGGGCGGATCACAAGGTCAGGAGATCGAGACCATCCTGGCTAACACAGTGAAACCCCATCTCTACTAAAAATGCAAAAAATTAGCCGGGCAAGGTGGCGGGCGCCTGTAGTCCCAGCTACTCGGGAGGCTGAGGCAGGAGAATGGCGTGAACCCGGGAGGCAGAGCTTGCAGTGAGCTGAGATCCGGCCACTGAACTCCAGCCAGGGGGACAGAGCAAGACTCCGTCTCAAAAAAAAAAAAAAAAATTAAGTAGCCAGGTGTGATGGCGCATGCCTGTGATCCCACTTGGGAGGCTGAGGTGGGAGGATTACTTGGGCCCAGGAGGTTGAGGCTGCAGTGAGCTATGATCATGCCACTACACTCCACCCTGGGATACAGAGCGAGACCCTGACTCAAAAACAAAATAGGCCGGATGTGGTGGCTCACACCTGTAATCCTAGCATTTTGGAAGGCCGAGGTGGGCAGATCACCTGAGGTCAGGAGTTCGAGATCAGCCTGCCAACATGGTGAAACCTTGTCTCTACTAAAAATACAGAAATTAGCTGGGCGTGGTGGCACGCACCTGTAATCCCAGCTACTCGGGAGTAGGAGGCAGGAGAATCACTTGAACCCGGGAGGCGGAGGTTGCAATGAGCTGAGATCGCACCACTGCACTCCAACCTGGCGAGAGAGTGAGACTCCATCTCCAAAAAACAAAACAAAAACAGAAACCAAGTTTTTGTTTGGTTAAAATTTTGTGAGGCTTATAAACCTGCTGAAGTCCATCTACAGAACTAAGCTAGATGATCAACAGTAATAAAAATAGCAGCTAGCATTAAATGCTTACTATGTGCCAGGCACTGGGCAGAGCGATACACCTCAGGATCTTGTTAAAGCTATATAAAAACCTGTGAAATAGTTACCATTGTTATTTGCCATTTTACAGATGAGAAAACTGAGGAGGCCTAGAGAGATGAAGTGGCTTGCCTAGAGTCAGAGTTGGAAGTTAAGCCTGGGCTTGTCAGATCCAGACCCTGAGATCTTAACCACAAAGGTTAGCCAAGGATTCTAGGATTCAGGAAGAAGAAATGGCAGGGAAGGGGACAGGTATGGGAAGGTTTTCAAAGAAAGCCGTGGAGATAGCAGAGCAGGAGAAAAGGGAAGAGGGGTAGTGGTGCCAGCTCAGCCCTGAGGGGAGACATATCAGGTAGTTGGAGGTAAGGGGCTGGAGATGCGGATTTCATTTAGAGCTTGCTGGCCTGGCTTCCAGAGGGCTTGGTATCTGTCCCACATGACCCCCAGCTAAGTGACCTGCTCTGGAGCCTGCCGGGAAGGGGTGGAGGTGGGGCTCCTCTATCTCTTGGCCTCATTATATTTTGCCCCCTTGTTCTGGAAGGACTTACCCCTAACTCTTTGACTCAGCCTCCAGTGCTGTCTCTGGAATCTACCGTCCCTCCCACATCCCAAGGCCATCAAGAAGGGCCCATGGGCCTTGATCTCTCTAGGGGAGTTAAGAAGTAGAGACACCCTTTCCATCCCAGAGAGGAGTCCTGGGGCCCATCTGCTGAGATCAGAGTAGGATTCGGAACCCAAGCACCAGGGGACCAATGTTAGGCTCTGGTTTTAGATCCTGGTCAGCAGCACTGTCTTGAACCACAGCAGGAGGTGATCTAGATTAGACTAGGCCATGGTCTTGGACTGGAATCTAAATTTACAGTGGGTTGGATTTGTTGCTCATCTAAAACGGTCATTCTGGAAAGTAAAAATTTTAGACTTTGTAAGCATTCAGTCTCTGTCATGAGTAGTACTTAACTCTGCTATTGTACCTTGAAAGCAGTCACAGACAGTGCATAAGCGAATGAGCATGGCTGTGTTCCAATCAAACTTGAATTAGAAAAACAGACAACAGGCCACATTTGGCCCATGGACCATAGTTTGCCAACCTCTGATCTAGAACCTTATTCCTCCTGAGGGGTATGTCGATTTTAAACCTAATTAGACAGTGATCTAAGCAAACAATGTTGGCCTGTCAGGCTGGAACCTTAGATCCGTGGCAAGTTAACATGGAAGGTGATCTATAGTCACACTCTTGCTGAGATCTAGATATTGGGGATTGATGAACAAGAAATGCACTAAATAGTGTGTATAAAGCAGACTAAGCCATAATCTCTGGCTGAACCTAGATTCACAGAAAATTGAGGTGGGGTGGTATGGGGTGGTGAGATTTAGACTAACACATAAGGCTGTGGTCTGGATATGAGAAAGTGAGTGAGCTAAAGTCACACAGACATTGATCTAGAAAAAGCAAAGCTTTAGTCCAAAGCCAGAACCCACAAGACCTAGAACACCAGCCTGAGCAACATAGTGAGACCCTGTCTCTACAAAAATGTTAAAAAGTTAGTTGGGCATGGTAGCGTGTAGTCCCAGCTATGCAAGAGGCTGAGGTGGGAGGATTGCTTGAGCCCAGAAGATTAAGGCTGCAGTGAGCTGTGATTATACCACTGCACTCTAGCCTGAGTGACAAAGCCAGACATTGTCTCAAAAAAAAAAAAAAAAAAAAAGTTAGAACAGGACTATCCAGTAGACACATAATAGAAGACACATATGTGGCCGGGTGTGGTAGCTCACACCTGTAATCCCAGCACTTTGGGAGGCCAAGGCAGGTGGATCATGAGGTCAGGAGTTCAAGACCAGCATGGCCAACATAGTAAAACCCCATCTCTACTAAAAATACAAAAAATTAGCTGGGCATGGTGGTGGGCACCTGTAATCCCAGCTACTTGGGAGTCTGAGGCAGGAGAATAACTTGAACATGGGAGGTGGAGGTTGCATTGAGCTGAGATCACGCCATTTCACTCCAGCCTGGGTGAAAGTGTGAGACTCCGTGTCAAAAAAAAAAAAAGCCACATATGTAACTTAAAATTTTGAAGTGGCCACATTAAAGTAAAAAGAAGTAAGTGGAATTAATTTTAACAATTTATCTTTTTTTTTTTTTTTTTTTGAGACGGAGTCTTGCTCTGTTGCCCTCGCTGGAGTGCAGTGGCACAATCTCAGCTCACTGCAACCTCCACTTCCTGAGTTCAAGCAATTCTCCTGCCTCAGCCTCCCAAGTAGCTGGGATTACAGGTGCCCACCACCACACCCAGCTAATTTTTGTATTTTTTGTAGAGACAGGGTTTCACCATGTTGGCCAGGCTGGTCTCGAACTCCTGACCTCAGGTGATCCACCCACCTCGGCCTCCCAAAGTGCTGGGATTACAGGTGTGAGCCACTGCACCCGGCCCAACAAATTATCTTATATAACCCAATATATCCGAAATACTATTATTTCAATGTATAAGCATTATAAAAATTATTGAGGTATTTTACATTTTAAAAATATATTAAAACTTCAGAATCTGGTGTATATTTTGTACTTACAGCGCATTCCAGTTCTGACTAGCCACAGTCACATGTGGCTAGTGGCCACCATGTTGGACAGCACAGGTTTAGAAACTGACTTTTCTTTGGGACCAGGGTCCAGAGGAGTTATGAGCCAGAATAATCTGCAATAAGTAGGGTTGCACTCGCCAGAAGTTACACCCTTAGCAGACTTGAACTGGGTGTAGTCTGACTGCCTGGGAGAACATCTGGGCTGTGGGCTGGGGAGTGGGAGTTTCCCTCCCCTGGAGTCTTGACTCCCTGGCCTCAGGTGGAATCTCTGTCAGGGCTCTGGCCTCTCAGGGTATTCAGTATCACCTCTGAGCACTGGCCCCCAGTTCCTGTCCCTTATCCCAGTGTCACCTCAGTCTTGTCTGGCCTGGCAGGTCAGGGGGAGGGAGCAGGGTGGCAGCTGGACCCTTGAGAGAGCAGGAGCTCCACCCCTCCAAGCCAGCTGCTGCCAGCCTTCCTGGACTGACTCTGTGGAAACAGGGGGCCCAGAGACAGAAATAAACTGCCAGGTTTCCGGGGCGGAGTGGGGGGCCTGCCAGCCTTTGTGCTTCCTTGCTTGGGAGTGGGGGGAGCAGGAAGCAGCTCCAGGCCCTGTCCTAGGCTGTTCCCCCTGTATGCCATCTCCCCTCACCCCCAGGTGCCCCTGCCCCCATGGTTCTGAGGCTGGGCTGAGTCTAGAATTTGATGGATTAGTGAAATCTGGGGGCCCAGTAGTCTGGGACTGACACTTGGGAGCAGAGATTAGTCCTTAGGACTCTGATTGCAGCTTGGTGCCCATTTCTAGCACCCTATCATGGGGGCCCCTCTAGCTGCCGCACGGCAGGAGCTGAACAGATTCAGAGGGCTGCAGTGGGGCAACCAACCAGGAGCTGAATGATTTCTGTTGGATGCCCATGTCTGTCATTAACTGGCCAAAGGCAATTTTCTTTCCTCATTTATGATCCTATCCCCGGGTCTCAGGAGGGATGACTGTGTCCTCCCATCCCTTCCTCTTGGGCCTCAGTTTCCCCATCCATTGTGGGGTTTGGACTGTGAGCTATTGGAGAGCAGTAGGGGACAGGGAAAGAGTAGCCAGGAAGAATGTTGAGGGATGCTGTCTGAAGCTGCTGGCTTTGTGACGGGGGCGCTGTCACCAGTGCAAGGTAGGGTGCTGGTCTCTGCATTCATGTCATGACTGGGTACTGGTGTTGGGGGGTGTGGGCA